TGTGTGGAGGGGGGGGGGGGGGAAGGGGCATATTTCGAAAAGTATTTTATGTTTAGTAATAATTTTTGAAAAGAAAACAATATATAACATACCTTTTATTTGTCTAGGCATTGTTTATGTTTGTATCAGTAACTATCTCCTAGATGTTCACAAACATGAAAATAAACGCTCTTGAAAAAGAATTCGAAATACCCGAAAAAGGAAGTGGACATAATTTTATCTTTTCCCCCTGGAAACGTTGACAATATCTTTTGACGAAAGAAAATTGGCAAAGAACTAAAGAAAGAGAGTCCTAATGAATCCATGACCCAACTTTTCTCACGTTAAGCGTAACTACAAGACCTCCATTATCTCTCTGTATCTCGCGAAATGCCATGTAAGAAATAGAATGAAGTGACTGAAAAGCAATTCAGCTCATTCCAGAGGTACGTCATGATTCAAAAAGAACATTTTATTTAATATCTAAAATATATTTAAAAGATGTAAACTACTTATACAGTGGCATTCAAAACTGAGAACTGTAATTGTATGTTCCTGCCACAAATGCAATTACTGTGCAAATTATATAGATGATATTTATGGCACTATTGCATGGCAGACAATCGAAGAATATAAATTTAATTTACGATAAAAACAGTCGGTTCACCAAATTTTCAGTACGGAAATGATACGATCAGTGGCTTCTCTACTGTGAGAATATTACCGGCGACGAAAACACCGGTATTACGTTGTACAAATGCTTTTCGTTATCCGAGTGTTTTGCTTCTTGTGAATTCAATAACGGAAATGATATAAGGACTGAAAGTATTTGTGATTGCGTGAAATTTTGGTTTATTCTGTAATTGATCAAAAAATGTTTAACCTTAACTCTGAAATCGAAGAGATGTCCTTCCGCCGACAGTAGTCAACTAGGCACGGCGTGATTGAACACTTCTGAACATGATATGAATCTATATCATTATTTGAAAATGATTTTTAACATTCTAAAGAAAATACACTAAAGAAGCTTACCCAGTGAAGAAAACCATCAAGCTGGCTGACCAGTGGAGGTCCATGTCTCGTGGGCACATCATCCTTGAGGGCTGGGGCAGGGCCTGGGACGCCGCCAGACTTAGTCTATTTTATCTTGCCTCTCGTGCTAGGGTCTGAATCGATAAAACATCACTAAATAGATGTTTAAAACAGCCCTAGGCGTCCAGCTATGAGCAGTCTTGTAAAGCGTGTAATGTGGTTTACTGCCTTTGCCCTAAAACAAACGCCATTCGGTTGACTCAAGTATTTTCTGAGATTGTTTTGTCCAAATGCCCGTCTCTTATTCTATCTGCGGTGGGTTTTCTGCAAACAGGCTTCTCTGCCAGTGGTGGAATAAGTAACATCTGAATATTTTTCGTGCTAAATTAATTAATGAACATCAGACATTACGAAAAGAAAAATTGCGTTTTACCTGTTGAAAGGTATGTTTTTTCATCGATACCCGAGCCTTCCGTCACTTTCTGCCTTGCGCAATTAAAGTGGTGAGAGTAAGCAAGAGGCACGCGTACAATTTTCGAGGGAACGCATCACAAGGTGTACGCCTGGTTTTTAAGAATTGATGGGCGCCGAATCATTTAATGTAAATAGAGAATGTTTCAAACTATGCCCGCATAATGCCTCACTATGCTAAATAATAACAGAGAATGAAAGACGGCTTTGGACTGTAAGCAATGCTTCGCTTTTATCAATGGAGGAATAATGCAACTATGCCTAATAACAAGAGGTCTGTTCTTCGTAATCGAGGAATTGCTCAGCCGCGTCGGCGGATTTGAATGCTAAACTGTGAAAACATGCAAACAAGAAGGAGGGTTACTTAGACATAATTATGTCAGAATGTCAGAAGGCCGCGTTAATATGAGTGGATGGAATTCGTTACGGTCTGGATTGTATGGTTATCTTCAAGCCGTCGTAAAGTTACGCCATCTGGCTCAGTTTAGAGCTATTTACCCATGAAAATCAAAACAAACACGAGAAATCTCATGTAGAAGAGGTATTTACAAATTAAAACCTCAACAGACGACGTTTTGTGCTACGTAACAATATGCATAAAACGTGTTTTCGCCATCTGTATGTACCAGCACGATTCAAAGCAACGATCACATCCTTTGAAGTGGTGTCTTCCGCAAAATATAATTGATCATAGCCATATTGTTTATCCTTTAAAAAATTAAGTAAATGTAAAAAACACTCGATATGCAAATCACTTTACCAAACAGCAGAGCAAAATAATATCTATACTGCCACGGCTTAATCGAAGAGCATTAAGGCGAGCATATGCATTTCAATGCATTGTGGATAGAGGAGTAATATTTATTATAGAAAGAGAAATATTTATTACAAAAAGCGTTAATTCGTCGTCAAAGAAATGTGTCGAAGTTTGGCAATTTATGTTGAAGATATGGCATGATTTCACCATTTCATTCTTACATGGCTTGTTTTCCGTTGTTCCTGTCACGTTGATTACGTCACTCTGCAACCCACGTCATCGTCTCAGTCGGAATATGCAGCAGTTCAAAAGGTAATCGAATTGTAAGGTTTCTGAAAGCCCTCACTGCTTTCCATATAATCGCATTTAATAACCTCTCACCAGGTAGACATGCTTTTTCTGTTTCGACATAAAATAAAAACTTTTCATCTGAACTCAGAAAACAGTCTTTAAATCCTGGC